GATCGCCGAATAAGACATTTTCGCGACAATAGGACACTATCTGCGAGTCGACGAGTGGTTCTTCGGCCGCAAAGTACTGACAGACGAGCACTTGGATGCCGGCGCGACATACCCTCGACTCCACGTTTAGGTGATTCATCGTAAGCGTGAACTTACAGCTCAGACACTGGTCTACCGGTCCTATCACTTGATGGCAATGATTCAGCGCCTGATGTCCGTCACTCTTGCGGTCAAACAGACCCGGAAGTCGCGCCGACTTTGACTGGTCGTCGAAATCCCATACAATGGCGTCGCTGTCGGACACGCTATCACTGGCGACACCATTATCATCACCACCGCTACTATCCGTAGGCTTACCATCGAAATCAAACTTAAGACTCAATAAACTGAAGTGTGTTTTAGACGCCACACCGATGTAGTGATCAACTAATGACACTCTTGTGGCGAACCACTGGAGTCTTATATCCAACAGCAATACGAAGTCACTTCTGGTGATAGTGTCCGACATCCTCAGCCTCTCATAGCTGTATAACAAGACTTTAAAACCGCAGCAAATACTCAGATTACCACTCCGTTCGCAGCAACTGATCCATTGGCTATCGCTTCCGATGGCGGCGTCCATCAAATCGATCACTTCGGCGCACATTATCTCACGCGCCGTACCATCGCTGGCGGCCCTACTGGCCATCAATTGGCCATTGGGTCTGATTCTGACCGCCTGTCCATCGATCCAATAGTTACAGTACACGCGCACAGACTTCGCGTGGATCTCCTTGCGGTGATTGTCGGCCATAATCGCCAAATAGTTGCCATAATGCGAGTGAATCACTCGCCGGACATTCGTGTCGATCAGTGGTATTGTGATAATAGGGGACATCCGTTCCGATATCACCGACAGGTCGTAGATCCGGATGACGGCCGCCGACTCGTACACCACCACCAACTGGTCCTGACTGATGGTACACATGTATGTAGGCTTACCATCGCTGACGAAGACTTCCTGGGAGCGGAAGTTATAGCCGTTTGCGTCCATTATCTCCATCAGCGGTCCATTGATGCCGTGTTTGAGACAATCAGTGGTTTTGTTTTGGTGTTTGTGTTGACTCTAGTGTTGAGGCCTATGAGTGCCATAGAGAGCACCACTTGAGTGCAGTGTTGGGTACAGAATATGACCAGAATTTGGCACTACTTTCACCACAGAATCGACAGAATATTTGATTATTACATAGATTTGCGTGAATTCATCTTGGTTATTTTAAATAAATTTGAGCATTGTGAAGTTATAATTAACTTAAATTATAAAATACATTTTAATTCAATTGTCAATTGATCATTTTGTACCTGGACTTTGAACTTTTAATAAGTTCTACTTTAAACCGATAGTTTAGTTTTGTTTGAGATTAGCTAGGTATTGTAATTTATGACATAGAAAGTTGTTTAATTGTGGCACAACTGGTTTATTTAATAATAGCTTATGTTTTATGGATTTATCACCAGTGTTATAATAATCGTATAAAATTCAAACATTTATCTAAACATTTAATAGATACATAAAAGTAAAAGAGTTTACATTGTGAAATTACGATAAATTTATGCTATATTTTATTGTAAATTACTTAAGTCACCTTTATAATTTACTATGCTGTATAAAATTGAGAAATATTACTTATATGACATCTATACATTTACATGTGACAATATAGTTATTGTTAATGCCTTTATACTGTATTAATTTATTATTTTCAATTACCATATTAAATATTTAATTTTTGTATTTTAATTATTATTTATTTATATGCTATGTACCGCATAAAGTAACAATTAACTAAAATGTTTAAGCACAATAAGCTAATGCATGATTAAGAAATTAATATATTGAGAAATATACAAAATACGGGTTAAATTAATTAAGAGATTAACAAACTACATAACTTAGAATTAGTTGAATAAAATGCACCTGTACTATTAATATAATATAGGAATATTGTTAAATGGATTAATTTTTACAATTAATAATAAAACTTTCGTATGAATTAAAAGATATTCTGCGATAAACTTGAATTAAATATAATCTAATTATTTTAATCACTAATTATACCAAATACATGTCACTAGAAAATGATACTGTATTAAATACTACTACGCCAATATGTACTTTACAATTTTGTGCAAAAATAATAAATATATTACTCGTGTCACAATAAGCTTAGCATTTTGACAATTTTCATCTCTATATTACAAGTTTGCCATAAATATAAGGGTTTTTATGTATTAAACCAATAAATCATAAATTATTTCCCATAATTTCCCATAAAAAGCGCAAACTTTCCAATGGTTTTTCGCATTCACTTTCGCGCTGCGTTTGAGTAGTAATTACTAAAAATGTTGTGCAAAGCCGTGCTATTCGTGGCACTACTGGGCGCTATCGGCGCCCTACCCACCGACGGCCCGGTCGACTACAGCCACCATAAGATCGTCAAAATCCTACCCAAACGTTACGGCGATTTGCAGCGACTTCATCGACTCAAAGATGTCTTCGACGTAAAGACTAATAACTAATTTGAAACAAACTTTTCAAAACTTTTCAAAACTTTTCAAAACTTTTCAAAACTTTTCAAAACTTTTCAAAACTTTTTTGCTCACAACTAACCTGATCCCGCAATTGGCAGACAAAAGTGGACTTCTGGAACCCGCCGGTGGCCGACATGAGGCCGGTGCTGACGCTGGTGGGCCCGGACAGCGGCTACCAGTTCTTGAGGTCGTTGAACGCCTCCCGCATACCGTACGAAGTGGTGGCCAACAGCTTCCAGAAGGTGATCGACAACGAGAGGGCGGAGATGAGGGCCCACCGGCTGTACAGTAGAGCCGGCTTTGATTACGAGAAGACGTACCATACCTACGAAGAGATTGTCGCTGAGCTCACATCCATATCCAGTTTCGTTGCTTAATATGTCTGTAAACTTCGCAAAATGTTTTTTCAAACTTTTTGTTTTGTCACTAAACTCAAGGCCCGAAAGCCAAGTACGCCAGCATTGGTCAGACCTACCAGAAGCGAGACATACCGTCTATCACCATCACCAACCCGGGCGGAAGCGGCAAAAAGGCTATATTTCTTGAATGCGGTATTTATTTAGTATTTTATGTCTAATTCTTTGGCTAATTATGTGTAATATTGTTAGGAATTCACGCCCGAGAATGGGTGACAACAGCGGCCTGTCTGTGGATCGCCAACGAGTTGATCACCAAAACAGATTACGACACCATTTTGAACAAATACGAAATCATTATAGTGCCTACGCTTAACTCGGACGGGTATTATAGCAAAAAACAGTGTATACCATGAACAGCCTATTTACTAAACAATTTACTTGATTATATAGTTACGTCTATACGCACACCTCGAACAGGAACTGGCGTAAAACTAGGTCCCAAAACGGCCTGTGCTATGGCGCCGATCCTAATCGAAAGTATATTAATTAACAATACGCCTAGCTAATTTAATTGAGATTAAGCACTCACTAAATCACCCTGACACAGTTGGGACGCCTCGTGGTGCTCGGCTGGTGCGTCCAGTAGCCCGTGCAGTGACACCTACTGCGGAACGGCAGCCTTTTCCGAGATTGAGGCCAAAAATATGGCCGCTTTGGTGACGGCTAAGCGCGGTAATGTCGCCGCCTATTTCTCGGTGCATAGCTATAGTCAGCTATGGATGTATCCCTGGGGCTATAAAACTGCCAGCCNAATGTTAAGTGATTCTGTATTATTCTGTAAAACTTATATTTGTTAAGCTTTTTATCAACCGTGTTAAGTAAAACACGGAAATTTCCATTATAACACTGCAACTTATTAAAGACTATGCATGGGTATGAATTAGTTAATTACCAAATATTTTAGTCATACATGATACAATGATCATAAAAAGCAAAATCAATGGTATAATACTGTATTATACGTAAAATAGTACAGTATCTAAAATGCCAAAAAATCAGTTTAGTGTTAATGACCACCTAAATGTCTACAATTCTGACAAATTTATAATTACAAATATTTACAAATGTTTTAAATAAATGTGTTCCGGATTCTTGTTTTCAAAATGTCTTAATCTTAAGTTTAATATATTTACAAAAGTTTAACAAAGAGTTTAAGTTTATACTATAACTGTATTATATTTGTAGGATTTGTGTTTTATCAAAAACTGTGATTTCATGAAATGAAATAAATGTCCATTATAATTTATTAAATTGTTTCAAAGTAAAGGTTTATTGTACCCCACACAGGATGTCTAATAGATTAGAGTAATACAGTATTTACAGTAATAATTTATTTAAAAAGCAAAAAGTAATGATATGGGGCACTAATCATCTAGATCAATTAATATCACTATTAAGTCGTTCTGAGAAATACTAACAATTACTAAGTTTTATAGTAAACATTT